ACCCACATTTTATTACTGTGTGTGAATGCCAGATTGATGTTAGATTGCAAAATATTTGTTGATAATACTGATATCATATGTAACAGATTGCAAGTCCTCTGTCATAATGTTCAAGACCTGAGAAGGTAAAAATTTCAAGGGTCCAGGACTGAATCTGAATTTAGGCATATGAAAGGCAGTAAATAATCATCACAGCTGGCTTCATACAGCTCACCTTCAATTAATGCAGAATTTCCCCCGTAATACCCTGAGCTCAGCCACAATCAAAAATACTTATATCTCAGTTAACTTATTCTATTTAATAACTTCAGCAAATCCAGTTCCAGAGTAAAGACAGGGAATATATGAGTATGTGTGCACTTGCATATCCACATATACAGGGCACAAATAAACCAGCATAGAAACTGTCAGCACAACTGATTATAGAATATCCTTGCTTTGTATAGGATGCATGCATGAGGTAAAAAATACTGTCAGATATACCTAGTGGAAAAGTGACAGTTTGAGTCAGACAGTTATTTAATACCTCCATTTAATACTCTTATCTCCTTAACACACTTATTACACTTCCATGTCCCAGGAACTACAAATAACAGAATTCTCTTCTTGTTCCCCAAGTTTCTCTCTACTCCAAGAAGGTGACAAAAACTGACCTGTCGAAGCAGAGCACTACAGAGAGTACCATGTAGAGGATTAAGTAAATAACTGAATTAAGTCAGTCAACTGTGTTCATTTCCTCTGTGCTGAGTGACCTGCTGCCCTCTCCATTTTTTATTTGCTTTTGCACTGTACTGCCCTTACGTAAGTGTTCCCTCCAGCTCATAAATTTCCAAGGTGAACAAAAATGATTACATTCAGCTTGGCCACAAAGGTGATTTTTTTCCCAACTGACTTCTACTTAGCAGATTCTATCATTTTAATCACATAAAAATATTAAGCCCATTTGGGTTAAGTTGATTAATTTGGCTTCTAAATGCCTGTGCTTTCCCATTTCCGACTGGAACATCGTTTCTGATGATATTAACAGCTACAAAGATTAAGATAGATTATGGCTGGAAAGGAAAAATGGTTTGGTGGTTGCTTTTCCTTCCTTTTTGCAGTCCAGGCTGGCGTTATTTTGGTTTGGGTACCTGGAGCTGCTTTTCATCTCCCCACACATCGCTTTGCCCACACCAATATCCTACAAAAAAGCAATCTTTCCAAACACATCTTTACATAAAAAAGACTGGAGATCCATTATCTGGGGCTATTTTCAGCCATATCTCTGAAGCAGCCTGACCTGGAGTCACACAGAAGCAAAAGCAGGCGCAGCCATAATCCTTCCTCCCTATGGCATGAGTTTACTCCTGATGCTCTCTTGGTCTGACCTCTCTGCAGCAGCAACAGCTATGGCTGGGGATAACTGCAGCTGACAAAAGCCAAGAGAAAAATGGCTTAGAAAAATGCAAAAAGCACCACCACATCCTTTGCAGCGTTCAGTCTGAACTCCCAGCAAGGGAATGAATTTTCTAGAAGATTTTTTTATTACATTGTGAAAACATGCTTATGTGTGAATGCTAAAAATAAATATAATTTGTTTGTAGCACAGATAGAAATTTCAGCCTAAATTTGTCTAGACCTAATTAACAAGTCAGAAAAAAGAATTAATCTCCCAGAAGTTTACTTTGAGACCTACTTCACTCCTTCGCAAAACATTAATTAAATCTTTATAGTCATTGCAACTAAAACTTGATGAAATGTCAAGCTCCAGACCTTCAAAATATTGGCAGCATTTTCTCTCCTACATATAGCATGTGACAATATGCCTTATGAACTCTTTCCACACATAAACCAATAGAATTATTACCTGAATTGTTATTATTATTTTCTCTTAATTACTAGGGTCTGGACCCTCCCAGTAGCAGTCAGTAGGTAAACTGCCAGCTGAAAGTTCCTACTTTTTCAGCATCAAGTATGCTCTTGCACTGGCAAAGGTGCATTTCACCTAGCAAGCCATTTAATCAGAAAGTATTTTAGCTCTCTGGGGAGAGTTTAAAGTGACAATCAAAATATAATCATAAGTATTGAATATTAGAATTTCACTGAAAAGGCTGTTGCTAATGTTTGCTTGTTCCTTAAAGAAAAATACTTGTTTCTATGAAGATACATATCCCTGGTGATTTCAGACCAGAGAAAGTATATTAAATAAAAGGCTGCTGTTTGCCCTTAACTTTGAAAGAAATGATCCTAATTTCTTACCCTGTATGTAGCTTCTGGTATTTGCTACATTGTGGTGCTTAGTTACTGTATATCAGTAACTATTACAACCCCTCTGCCAGGTAGATGCTTTTAAGAAAAGGAAAGTGAAGAGAGATACAATATTTTGGGAAAAAAAAAAAAATCCTTTAATCCATAATCCTGATGTGATTACTTCAGGTTTTTCCGGGAAGAATCGTGCACGAGAATCCCAGCTTCATGTTAAACCAGGGCAGAAAATACTCTTTGATCATAAAACATGCTTTAAGATCCAACAAAGCCCCAACAGAAGTGATATTACATGGATTACTGGTATCTTAAACACTGAAAAGAAATGTATGTGGAAACACCCATTCTGTAAATAAGTTAAAGCAAAAAAGCCAAGAACAAATTCTCAGTTAATCTGTAATATCTGATCAGTCTCAGATATTAAACTGCAAAATACATAATGATATATACATAATGATATATATTTATATAAAGAAAGGAAAACTTATTGGCAAATCAGCCTACAGGAAGAACAACACAGCCCCAGGGGAGAGGCACATCTCCTGAGGAAAATAACATGACAACATCCAGAACACAAGTTTAAATATAATCTTAGTGCCAAGCCACGTGGTGCAATCTTGCAATCTTGGTGCAAAACTAATGCATTAATTTTCTATCAATGGCAAGGTCAGGTATAAATCTGGGACTGACGTGTGCAGGTAAGCCAACACTGCACAGCAGTGGCTGCCCACCACGTGGAGCAGTGCTGGTGCAGAGGGGCAGGAAGGGCATGAGAAGGAGGATGCTCCAGATCTCTCTCCCACCCCTCTGAGCAGATTCATGTCTGGCTGAAATTTCATACCAAAAGGGCTTTACAGACATGCTCAGAGAGGGAGAACAGGATAAAAAGGACATAAAGAAGGGGGCAGGTAGCTATAGATGTTTTAAGAGAAAGCCAGCAAGGTAGATAAAAACCCCAAGAGGATAAAACCGTGTGCCAAAAAAAAGATGGGCTGTTAAAACGGAAAAAATGAACCAGCAGTGATGAGCTCTAAATATCACAAGATGAAGGCAAATGCAGGCTAAAGTGCAACTGCTTTATAATTTTATTTTTAGTCATATTGTTAAAGAAAATGGGCTTTCAAAGCTGATGGCTAGCATGTTCATCTGCCTTTAATCTTAATATAGATCTGCCAGGATCTATAAAGACTACAACACCAGCATAAAGCAAACTTTTAATGTTGCTGTAAAATCTTTACTGAAGAAGAGTTCAAACTCCAATTTACAGATCCTGAATCAAATTTTTCAAAGTTCGGAGCACGATATTTTCAAATGTTCCTCATTAGGAGTGTTTTTAAGAGTACCTAGGGAAAAAGGTTCATTTTTTTCTCTTATCAGGAATGGCAAGACTAGCAAGAATTAATGCACACAAGTTGTGATGGATTCTCAAACACAGAAACATCTCTCTCCAGTCAGAAAACATTTACAAAATTTGACAAAATTCACATAAACTCGGTGTAGTGGCATTTATGAACCAGTCACTTCCAAATCCCCATTCCCAACCACATCAGGTCTCACACACAGAGTCTTCCCCTTATGAAAGAGCTGACTGACTAAATTTCAGAGAAGGCAAGCAGGAAGCAAAGTTATTTATTGAAACAGAAGGAGCAGATACTTCACCAAGCAGCCTGGCCTTCTGCTGGGTAGAGATCTAGATCCAACCCAGAGACAATGAGAAGAATCAGAGTGACTTCTGGAAAGGTACATTTTCTACAGAGCACTTCTTTGCTTCTGTTGAACCATGAAATATTAATGTCAATTCATTACATATCAATGCATTTGTATATTCCCCTGTTATCATGTGTCCAAATGAAAACAGTCTGTTGTGAATAATTTATTCCTGAATCATCAGCCAGCTTTCCTCTTCAAAGCCAGATCTTCATTATTCATCAAATGCCATCTATGGCTGACAACTTAGAAAATATGTTCTCTGCTAAACTTAAGAAAGGTACCAGTATATGTGTATTTGATGTGCTACAAAACTTGATATTTAGAAGAGATGTGCTAACAATAAAGTAAAAATACTTATAAATACTATAAAACATGACAGTTTCAAGTTAGTGAGCTGGATCCGGTGTGCAGGAACAACTTGTTCAACCTCCAGTAAGAGTCTCTGTGACCAGTCTTCCCAGAAGATCCCCAAATCCCTGTGGTTTCCCAAAACTCATCCCATCACAGGAGCATACAGCCTGATGCACAGTGCCTCAACCCAAAGATTTACAGCAGACAACTTATTTAATCCACAGCTAAAGGCCATGTGAAACCAGAGCTCCTCAGAATAAACGTACATCGACTCAAGTAGTGACAATGCTACTTACTCCATGGTTGTTTTGGTAAGCACCAGTTTAACTCACACAAAGTGTCAGGCTTGCCACAGCTAACTGGTGTCCTCAGGGAAGGAGGCAAAATTGTGTTTGATGGCAGATCCAAAAATGCATTTACACAACCATATTCCTTTGCAGCATGAAGGAGCATTGCTAAAATAATTAATTTTGATTTTGTTGTGGGGCTCTTTGGTAAGAGACATTATAGTGTCTCAGAAATGTGTATTCTTCCTCCATGTTCACATCCCCTGACTCTCTCTGCAGAGGGTGAAAGAAATCTAAATGACCTTGCTGCTTGATGTTATTGTAAAAATCCATTACTGAGGGGAAAAAAGAGTTTCAAAACAGGAGTCACTAACTACATAATCCCCTTATGAAACACAACAGTGATTCTGAGTTAAGAATGCATATTTTAATGGATGCAGGTACTTATCCCATTTACTCACTAATGTACTCAACATTCTTATTACAATGTGCTCCCTGTAACCTTTTTATTCAAAGTAACCTTTTTCCATTTGCTGCTAACAGAACACAATCATTTTTAATCTTGAGATCCTGAGCAGAAAACTCCACTTCTTTGAGGTTAGGAAAAAACCTGAAGCCACACACCATTATCGTATTGGTCACTGCAGAGATCCATGAGTGGAAGGCTCGGGGAGGATCAGCTTCCACTGACTGCAAAGGAAAGTGAACTGACAGAGTAATTCCAACATTCTGTCTCTGTAGGATCCCAGCTTAGATGTATGCTCATCCTGGTCTTGGCTTAGCCATACAGTTTGAACTCAATCATTCCTGTGCACATGGATATTCCAGGTGTGTGCACTTATGTATGGACTGAGGTATTCCTAATTCAGGTACTCTTGCTATTAAAATACTATGAAATACAAGGAACCTTGCTAAACATTAACTGTTAACCTCAAAATGCCCAAATCAGCTCATGGCATGATTTGCAGTAGCTACTGCTAAGAAAAGAGCTTTTAAAATTTACTAAAACATTAAAGAAAACATAAAGAAAAGATACCAAATTGAAACACGCTTTCTGTCAGAAAACAACATAAATGTGATGATGAGAAGCTGTTAGCTGCACATTCCTATGGACTATAAAGATAAAAAAAGGAAGGCAATGTTCAGCACTGATACAGCTATAAATATATATATACAGATATCTTTCAGATAAGGCCAGATTGCATAATGTGACAGGTAATAAGGATGTACTTCTAACATAAGAATGGGTGTTATATAAAATAAAAAGGAGTCTTTCCTCTCATTTGTTCTAAAATGTAATTTGTGAACTTTACTCTTTTGCAGCTCCTACTCTGCATATTTTAACTAATTTTAGGGTTGAATTAAAGGAAAAAAATACTAATTGCATTTGTAGTGCATAACATTCAAACAGAATTATAAGATCACGTTTGATTTCTACATCCTCCGATTTTTCAAGCTTAATGTAAAGAAAGCTGTCAATACATATATGATGATAAAAAAAAAGCAAAAATTGTGTTCACCACCCAGAATGTTTCTTTGTATGCAAAGATGGATCTCAATTTCAAGTCCATTAAAGGGCCAGTGGGGATGAACCAAGTGGCTTGATTTGGATGCAGTGAACTCAGCAATAGGTAATATGCCTCAGTGCATACGTAGCGACATCAGGTTTATATATTTTGCAAAAGGAAGCTTACCTGCCCGTTTTTTCCCAGTTCCATTTCAACTATTGCAACAGGAGTGTTCATCTGATCAATGTGCCTCAACTGTGACTTCAGGTCCACTCGCCAGTTCATGTTTTTCAAGACATTATCCCAGCGGCTCTGATTGATCAAGCTCTCGTGGATTTGAGTCCGGTGGTTCTTCCAAAATTTTGCAATGACTGCAGCCTGATCTGATGTGATGCCACCTTGTTTTTTGGTTTGGGCAGTGAGGAAAGCTTCCAGCTGATTCGAATCCATGTCTGCTGAAGCAATTGACTGCAGGAAAATAAAGGGAGTAAAAGGAAAAAGCTTGCTTAACTGAGGACTTAAAGGTGACATCTTTAGGGTTCAACAAATATGAATCTTAAAGGGGTTGTATAAAACAAACTAGGTTATGCAAATAACCTGACACCTTTCATCAAAACTCAATTTGCAAGTGTCCACTACTTATCCCAAATTCCTGCCCCACAGCAGCTGGAGGGGAGTGGGTTGGCTCCAGCCATGAGCTGGGAGCACCTTTGGGAATTCAGCACTGGTACAGGATAGCAAGGAGGATTCTCCCTGTGTCCTGGCCCTTTCCCCAGTGTGCCACAGACATTCCCAAATGGACACTGCTACAAACAGTGTGTGAGGTCTGGCACTGCACTGCTGCCCTGATGTGCCAGGAAACAGGAATGCTGGGACAAACAAGGCGTGCTCCTGGGCTGAAACAAGTGAAGGGACACCCAGCTCATTGCAACATCCACAGTTTCATCTGCCACCTCCACACCAAACACAAGGAAGCAAAACTGGTAAATGCTGCAGCAGTAAAGCAGGGACTGCAGAAGCAAGAGCATGAGTCTTTCAAGGGAGAGGCAAATGCAAAATGCAACTGCATTTTTCCATCTGTATTATTCTATCCATAAGGCACAAAAATCCTTAACAATTCAACTGCAGCTTCTTTTAGAGCATTGGTGGACTTTGTCAGGCTTTATTTGTATTTTGCAATGGAGTGGAAGGGGTCATTTCCTCCTCCTCCCTGGGCAGCAACAGAAATTATTATTCCTAGAAAGCCCTTTTTATATAGATAACCAGTTTGTCCATCTATTTTTTCAAAACTGATAAACCCACAGCCTTGCATTTGCGTTGCCTAAGTAGCAGTAGCTGCTACTATATATGGCCACGAAGGGAGGACAGGAAGTGGAAAGAGGAAACTGTGGTCAAGTTTCCCCATCGTCACTTCAAGCAGATGCTTTTGCTGCATTGTCACACAAAATGGATGCAACTTCTCCAAAATGAACACATCTCCAAGCACATGCTAGCACAGCAAAGTGAAGTGCAGCCAGTCCTTGGGATTTGCCTTGATTTAATTTTCCTTGACGTGGTACTGCTACAGCTGCACTCCAGGCATTTGGGGAAACCACAGCCTCATTATTCCTTTAGCCAGGGGGGTGACATGGTGTGGCTTTGGGCTGGACACACACACTGCACCTCACATTGCCTGTCTGCAAAAATGGGCAGTACTTATCTAAAAACTGAGGTGTCTGTAGTGTTTTTTTAAGAGAGATGAGCTGCCTTGCCTTGCTTTCACAACAGATCAGCTGCCATCTGTTATGTGATTGAGAAAAGAAATGGCAATCAATACTACGAGTAAAGCCTCGGCTGTATTAAGGCTCCAGCTTAATAGGAGCATCTGTGATTTTATTATAAAATCTGAGCTGCCTGGTGCACCATTCTGGCTTTTCTATAGGGCATTTGACATATTGGTACATACTGCTTGCTTTATATCAAAAATATTTAACTTAAGAGGTAATTATCCTGTACCAACTCATTATGCTGGAAGTGAAAACAGCACTTTCCACTTTCAGAAGAGAACCTATTCAGACTTACAGTCCCTTCCTACAGCCATGTCTTACACTATCTACTAACAGCAGTGTGGAGTATTTTCTCCTTCAATATTTTTCACATCATTACATCTGTGTTAGTGTGTTGTGTGACACCAGCACTGCTCGTGCACTCCTCCTGTGCTGGTTAATGTGAATGGGGGGAGGAGTGCAGGTGAATCAAAAAGCACAGACCCCAGCACCTTATGCAAGCCCTGTCAAGATCAAGTTCAGATGCAGACTTTCAGTTCAGCTGTGCAGAAAATTGCCTTCTGTTTCCTTCCTGTGCAGGAAACCAAGAACACAAACTGTGTCCTCTGCACTGAGTGAGGCAAAGGTGTCACAGCAAAGCAGCTCGTCTGTGCTAAATGCGACCCTAATGCAGGCTCATGGTGATACCAGCTACCCCTCTGATAGGCTTGATTTCATAACCTTCCAATGTTTCACATTTATAACCCTCTGGAATTATTTTTTTTTAACCTCACTCTCTTCACAACAACCGTTTTTGCAAGATGCAGCAAGATTTCTGGCAGTGCCCTTCTAAGCTGATAAAAAATTGCAGACACAAAGTTCCTTATTGTGCTTGACACGTGATATAAATCGGAGTTTGAAGTGTATCCAGATGAGGAAGCTTATGACCAAACTTGAAATTTTAAGCATAAGGAACACGAAACAATATTACTAGAGCATATACAGGACACTTCAACCTGGCTATTTGGTAAAGATCATAAAGAGGCTGAAAATCAATTAAGGTCTGCTGCGAGCCACATTTAATAACTCTGCAGATTTATGTATGATAAGCATCCTGATATAGTTTTCTAACGAAAGAGTGCCACATAAAAGCAGAGGAAGGAAACCATGTATGATATTTAGCCACCATTTATACCTCCCTCATACACACATGTGCACATGTACATACAATATGTGTGGTTTTATACTCTACACATAAAATTGCTGCACACAGCCAAGAACCCAAAAAGTAACAATCATACTGTATTTTGGTGGAGTATTTATCAGATAATGCATACCTTATATAATATAGCCTTGTAATACATCATTCAGACTAGAATCTCCCTCTTCTTGGAAATATGACTACTACTTCAAAATTCCTTTAAAAAAATTAACTGGAAATGGGTACAAACAATCAATGAGTTATATTTTGGTACAGCTGCATGAAGATATTAATTAATGAAGACATATTTTCTTTGAAATTCCTCAACAAATCCCACCAGCTATAATGGTTTTCAAGTCACATAAGAACAGTAACTCATTTTAGTATTCTTTTTCATCTTAACTTGGAAACATTTCACTGTGGACAAAAAATGAAAGAATATTTAAAGTCTTTGCTGATCTTCTTGGTCTCTTGTTGCACGAACATTTACACAATTAATTCTTTAGACAAATGTAGTTCTACTCCATTGCTCATATGAAGGGCCTCAGTTCAGAATTTTTTTAAGCTTGGGGAAATGTTTTAATTTAACTTGGCAAAAAATTATATTTCCAGTCATATTTTGCATAGCATTACAAATAGTTCTTTCTATTACTTTTAACAATGCTCATTTATTACACAGAATATAAAATTATAGAGAATACATCTGATTGATATTTCTAAGGATTGATTTAAGTTGGAACACAAGCGGTTGTTCTGTGCTTACAACTAGAGATAGATAAAATATATCTGATTATAGGTCTCCCTTTCATGCTATTAAACCCCAGGAGCTTCAGATGAGCATTTATCACCCCCAGGACAATGACCAGCTGTTGTTCAACTCTGACTGCCATGGCGAAGATTGTTTCACTGCTGGAATAAACAACACATGAGCAGTTTAGCATCCTAACTGGAAAATCCTCAGAACTTAAAGGTATTGAAACCTGTTTTATCCATCTGCTGCTAGAGCTGAATCACTGTCAGCACTGATTCTAGAGTGATGCATCTTATTAATGCAAATTACTTAGTCCAGACAGACCTTAAAGTGCAGAATAATTGCCATACTTTCAGTCACTGTAGTGTTACTGACATTAACATCATTATGTTATAGAGACTTTATACTCTCAGCTAATTTCAGTTTTTGTTGGTAATCACAAGTAATTTACCATTTCAACATAAAAATCTTCAACTAACAAAAACCAGAAAAGTTTTTTTAAGAAGGTTTAGAATCACAGCTGTTCTATGCCAGTGCAAAATGTAAATTAACTTTACTTTGACTATTCACTTGAATGTCTAAGTAAGAAAAGCCTGTTTCAAAACTAGAGTCTGTAAGACAACACCATTAGATATTAAAAATTCCTCACATTATGTATTTTATGATTTGATAAAACATACTTTTCCTTTTCCCTCCTAGAAAGCACAGATTATGGACAGAATATCATATTACAAGCACACAAATCCTGCCCTCAGTGACTGGCAATACTTTCCAGAGGCTGGGTAGATGCTTTTGAACAGCAAGAAGCAGTTTTGGTCATACTGAATTCTACTTGTGTTCTCCTTCAACACATACCCACTATGTCTTCAAATACAATTCAGCCAATAAAAATATGACTTCAAATACCATTTCCTTAATGAAACAATATTCGATAATCTGGAGAGTTTTGTATTAGCCTAATTAGATCCATCAGACATGTGCCCTGGTGCACAGAACAGGAAAACAGACTTAAATTCATTATCTCTTCTGAGAAATAAAGCCTGACAAGCACGCAGTACTAGTGAGAAACAACAATTGGTAAAACCCACAGGAAGAAAAAAAAGAACACATTTAATTCTCAGAAATAAAGCATTAATTGTCAACCATCACAGAAGAGCTCTAAGAGCTGGACATTCCAGCATGTGGAAGCATTTCCTCCAGCTGACCCTCCAAAGTGCAGGCAGCTGCCAGCCTGTAGCACAAAGAAATCCCAAGCTCAAGGAAACCAACAAAGCAGTGCCATGGACCATGCTACTGAACTCACCTCCTCAGGCTTTTGGGAAGTGGGGTAAAAGGCTATTCCTGCATCACAGCCCTTCTCAATCATGTGCTTTTAGAACCCTGAAAGCCATTTCACAGACCCCAGGAATGCATGCAGGGAGATGTGGAAGCAGCTGCAGACAGGCGTAAGATGCCAAGGAACCTCGCTCAGCTGAACATCTTCACCACTCAAAGCCCATTCTGGGTAACACCAACGTGTATCTTTTTCATTTATCAGCCTCAGAATAAAACATTCACTGGATTTGGGGACAAACAGCAGCTGCCTGCAGGGGAAGAGAAGCAGCTCAGAACTGCAGACTGTGTGCTGTTGACACTGCTATTTGACAGAGCCACCTCTGCAAAGAGCAGCTTCTGACAGGAGGAATCCAACATCTTCCCAACCCTGTGGTTTCTGGGTCTTCCTTTGTATGTACGAGCCTGACTCTCCCAAGGGCTGCTGAGATACCCAACCCTGTAATAAATGAGCTGTTCCCACAGATGTTCCC